ATTTACTTATCACACCGCTTTTGTTTGTTATTAAATAAAACTCTTCACAGCGCGCTGACATAACCAAGACGACCAGTGCCACCACGACTGACTGCTGCAAGCGCTTAGAACAACAACACACAACTAAATCGTCATCATCAGCATCATAATGAACATCGTCGGTGATAGCCAGAAATCCATTCAACATTTTTAAGTTGAATAAAAGAAAAATTAAAAAAAACATCTATGTATATGTACTTATGAAGAAAATGCGTAAGGTGAAAGCTGCTCTTCTTCTTTCAATGAATCTTTGTGTACCCATCAAAAGCAGCTGCATTGTTATTTTATTTTTTACCCAATTACTTGAAAATTTTATGAATGACAAATGCATTTGTTTAGCGTAAATTTCATTTACTATTGAATAATGTCTAGAATGCACAGGTATTGACCGGAAGCACTTTGGAATTTTTACTCTTAAAAAAAATCATTTATCATAAACGGATAGCAAACAGGTATAAGATGGTCTATGTACATAGAATCACAAGCCATTTTTGTTATTGAAAAAGAAATCTTAGCTTATGCATTAGACTGGGTCGCAAAAAAGATTTTCTATTATGATTTATGAAATAACTTTTGCTTTGGCCAGTTTTAAAACATCAAAAATCTACACACTTTGGTTGCTGACATATTTATTTCTAACATGATTTAAAATTTTAGTATATCGTTGAAAAAACGTTTTTAAACCATCTAGACCGTATCACCCTATAAGCAAACAAAAAAAGTTCGCCGTGCATCTCTTGAGTCTGCAGTAACTACATTTGCCAGCGATTTCGAAAAATTCAATTTTTTCTCGAGCACATAGGTCGCCATTTTACCTTTTTCGTCATATTTTCGACGTTTACAGTCGGATCTTAAAGTATGATACATGTATCGCTATTCTTGGCACGAGCAGATTTTTTTTGTTCCAAAGTTCATTGGCCCCAAATTCCCTATTCTAATACTTAGATACCCAACATATGTACATTATCTTCTTTTCACGCTAGCGTATCACCCTAATGTTTATTTCTATTATTAAAGTGGAACTATTAAAAAAAAAAAATATGTTTATTTATTTATTTTCAATATTTTAATAAAAATTAAATTAATTCATTAACATATATGTATGTACATAAACCCAAGTTTAAAACTTTGTAGAAAACAAAAAAAAAATAAACAGGTTTTCAACCAAATTTCACATCTTTTTCTAAGAAGTGTTAGAATTTTTTGAGTATAAAGTTTGTAGCTCATTCAATTCTAGCAGAATTCTTTAGATTTTTTTGTCGGGTTTGCTTCCGTATAGCGAATAAACGAAATTTATTTTTAGCCACCTTAAACTTGACTTTATTATACTAGAATTCAAGTGGCTACAAAACTGCATACTGAAAATCTTTCTAAGATCTAAATAAAAAGCTTGACATTTTTTCGAAGTTCGATTTTTTTCTAATATTACAGAATAAACAATATTTTTATAAAAAATAACTAAAATTAAATAAAGAAAAAATAAATTTTTAAAACTTGCCAATAGGTGGTGCGCTTATAATTACGACACAGTGTGTTATTTTGCATACTCAATTAGAGACTGCGTAATCCAGAATACTCAAGCTCTGTAAGGGAATTCTATCTAACCAAAATGACGTATCTACATATTTAGTTTTGTATCTGGCTCAGGACTGGCACTTCATCAACACTCCACAAAAAATATTTGGGACCTTTTTATGCTATCACGTCAACAATTTGGATCTTTCATCAATCGAAATGAATAAAGGTTTGGAATTTAGCCAAAAGTGTTAGCGCCAAAATATATTATTATTGTCAAATCGTCGTGTTTTTGTCATACTGGTGGATTTTTTTATTTATTTATTATATTATTTATATAGCATCTATTATACACTTTCATATAAAAGATATTGTCCACCTTGCTTTCGAATCTTATTAAGATTTATTTCTCATCTGAATTTCTTAGTATTGTGTATTCTTAAAATCCCTTTATCCTTCCCGTTTTTCGTAATAAATTCTTAAATATAACTGCAGTGTGACAAATGCAAGCCCTCATATAAATATTTTGATAAGTTCTTAAGCAAGCATAACTAAATTAGAATTAATTCACAAAAACCTTCATACATACATATGTACTTATTTTCTGCAAATTTTCTATACAAATATATATAATTATTTTTAAATAAATATTTTTCTTAATCACTCAGCAAAATCGCTAACAATATTCAATCAATAGCATTTCGGGGTACCGCAAATTTTTTATTTACAAATTAAATATTTATTTTTGATTTTTGCAAAGCCAATGATCAAACACACACCCTTACACTTTTTTCTTGCTTATACTTTGTTTACACATGACACACAAATCCTACCACCTACCTACCTACATATGTATTTACTTGCCACCAATGACATCCTTTTGCCACTCATGCGTCCTTCGTTGCACTTCACATGCAAGCTGGCTTCACTGCTGCCATCCAAAAAAAAAAAACACTCGCAACCGGCTGTCAAACGATTGCCAAATGCTTTTCCATTGATGCCTTGACCAATTGTGCATTGTCCGCGTCGGAGCGGTAGCAAGTTGCAACTGCTGCTGCTCAAGTCTCTTTTGGCTGTGCGCTTGTGTAAATATTTTCATAATTTTCATATTACTTTTCCGCACAATTTTCCAATTTTTTGCTGCACGGCTGCTTCGCTACAAAACGGTTGCTGTCTCATTTGGTAGGTGCGTACGTAAACATTAACTTTTAAAAGAGATTTAATCCTGATTATCCTTTGACTGTGCATTTTTTTTTTGTTTAGTCTTACAATTCTCAACGGTTTCGCACAAAATTATCCTGCCTACTGTGGTACTAGCAGTGTCTGCCGCCTGTCCGCTGACCATTAAAATTCGTCTCAGTCTCAGTCGCTTGTTGTGATTCTTCCTTCATGGTTGGCTAAGAAGATGATGAGATCCGATCAGCTTTCGACTTGCAAATGAGCAGATCCGGCTTGGTCGACTTTTTGATGCGATTTTTATTCTCTTCTATATGACAAAGGCTGTGCTGCTGGTTGGCAAATTTTTGAATATCTGCGTATATGAAGAAGGTTCTTTTGACTTTTCGAGATTTTAATTTGTTCACAAAAGTGAGACAATTATGTGCGTAATTGGATTGAGTCCCACATACATACTTTTGGTTACTAATGCCTTTGTCGTATTGATATCTTCTAACAGAGGGGTATTAGTTTGGAATTGTATGTACACACAAAAGATATGCATCTATTTTAGATGTGTAAGTATGCCCTAATTGACTACGATACTGGTATTGCGTTGAAAGTACTTGGAGTTGTAGGCAAAGCTTAAAAACGATATCATTGAAAGTTCATCAAACTGTTTGGAGTCTTCCCCGATTTGCCCACCCTTAAGTTTGGTTATTTAGCGCCGGAATTTTACGTCCATATTTCCGACAGTATTAAATGTACGTATGCATTAAGCAGGTGACATAAAGCTGATGTTGAAATTAATTCAGGGATATAAGACTACGAAAAAATCACAGAAAATCTTCAACAGATCTTGCTTCTTTTAAATTGAAAAACCAAAAAATTCTAAACGCAAAAAGTACTAGCCGATAGTTAAAAGAACGTCACAAGTTCTCATCAGTTTTCTTCCTTAATTTTTTCAAATGAAAAATTTTTTAGTATAAATTTTTAATATTAACCAAGCGCATCTACATACATACAGACAGAAGTTCACTGATAGAACTTTTTCCGTTTTCGCCGGAAGTAGTTATTTTACCCATCACTCGATTAACTCCTAAAAGCGAGCTGCGTTTTCCTATTTTCAACTGTTGAAAAATTATCTGCGATCGGTAGGTGCGTTTATTTTCTTCGCTTCACCACATACAGCGCCATCTACGAACTAATAGCGGTTCGTCTCAGTTTCAAACCGGATATTCGCTTTAACGATATGAATTACACAAATATGAAGAACGGAGATCGGCCAAATTGACTAGCGTTACGTCACGTTAAATAAAGTACGTTGCCGGGGTCATTTTTAAATCCTGCAATGCGCTGCTGATCGAAAGACTTCCGCACACACACACAGTTGAAGTTAATGAAGACACAAACGAAGAAATAATTTCCCTCATTCCGGTCAATACCATGCAGGGACTAAATGCAGCTAGTATTTAAGCAAATTAATGTAGAAAGAGCCAAGCTATTTCACTGAGAGGATGGTTTCACCTTATTGCGGGTATGGGGAATCGAACTGCATCATTAGTTTTTTAAGTTTTCTACACACCTTCATGCAATTTCATTATTTATTTTTTTATTTAGGCTCCAAGGGAAACTGTTCAGGTGTTGTACACTTTATGGTTTCTAACTTTTATCCGCCTGGCTTTTTCAGCAAAATTTCATTGCAAAGTTGTTAAGAATTTCTCAGGCCTTAACTTTTGCAAACATACCAAACCCCAAAAAAAAAAAAAACAAGTCTTGAACGCTTTTAGGTGTGGTAAATGTTGTGAACCAGAGGTTAGTCTCCGCTATGTCCAAGTTTTTGGGGTCGCTGAAAAGGAATATGGAAGGGGGTTGAATTTTGACTTTTCATCAGGGACGGTAATCATTGTGAGTAAAAAAATTTAAATCAGCATTTAATCATTACTTTACGAATTATTTCAGAGCATTTCAATTAACCCAGCTATCATTGCCAGATAAGTAACGCATTTATTTTTCTTCTCTTTTATTTTAAACATTAAACATTAGGTATATGTACTTATAGGTTAGGTTTATACCAAAAAACTCAAAATTCTTTTCTTAAAACAAAAGTATTTTCTTAAAAAATTAGAAACAATATTAAAGTAAATGTAACCTTAAACTAACTAGTTAAACGTTATTTCACCCTTTAAGGGATTATTTGGTGCCTTGTTACTTGTGATGCCACAAACTCTTATTATAGTATACCCCTAAGTACCTAGTAGTATTTATTATAAATTTTACTAAATCAGCCATTAATTTGAAAACTTTATATGCTCATAGTAGCCGCCACTCCCACCACCACCACCATTGTTAACGCCAACCAAATGTTGGTGGTGCAGCGGCGGCGTAGACATCGTGCCAGTCGAGGGTGGTGTCGTCATTGAAGGCAAGAATATGGGCTTTCGATCGATAAGCGTGGAACTACCCATAGATGTGGAGCTCGGCGGTAGTGGTGGCGGTGGCGGCGTCATCGCTGAATGATGCTGTTGTTGTTGTGCATGTTGATGTTGGTGCATGTGCGAGAGAGTCATTGAGCGCAAGCCTGCGTACATAAAGAAAAAGAAGAAAAAAGAGATACGGAAATAGTTAGTTTCCAGCTAAAGCGTGAGGATGCAAGAAATTTTAAATATATGGAAAATGGCATTTAAGGAAACCAAAAAAATTTCACACATTTGCCGGTTACATCAAAAATGAATATTCAAGTTTTAAACGATCTTCATTTGATTACCAACCCAAACACATTCAGGCCAATAAATTTACATACATACATACGTATGTATGTGCGCATGCGTATCCACATATGTGCACATATGTAAATATGTATGCAAGTATAAAGTGATTACCAACAACACAACCCCGGCTTACTTCGCCGACAACACATGAAGCTCGTAAAAATAATACGCAACATCAATCTTACGCTTCCTTGTTACTCCGGCATTTGTGAAACAATTTTTAATGGATCCGACTGGCGCTTAAGATGCATTTTAGATATTTGATTGACGCGATCGCCATGAAGCTGGCACTTATAAAATGTAGCACTCAACTTCAACTTCAAGCTCTAGTTCTTATTTTTATACATANTCTTGGGGCCGTCTGGAATCTAACCAATAACAGCGAGCACCTCTGCAAAGTCAGCTACAGCAAGGTATGTAAACGTACATTTCTTACAATCATTCAAACAAATTTAATTTCAAATTGAAAAAAACGTTTCTTTGAAAATAATGTAAAATCGCACACGGAAGAACCGAAAAGATTGAAAAATCATGATACTTTTTTCTTTCGTCTGTCGATTTTAGAACTGGTTCGGAACTATAGAATTTAGGACTAGTTCGGAACTGTCGAAAAAGTGATGCAGCGGGGGGCAATTGACACTTCCTAGGACATCGCCATATTAAATTCGCCAGTTGCTTGCATGCAAAAGAGATTTATCGCGAACCAGTACTGGGTCTAAATGTACTAGAAGCGCCCCAGTTCAGAACTAGAGATTTTCCCCACAGGGTATGTACATATGTACATATGTATTAGAGTGGTCCTTAAAATATCAAAATCTAAATTTTGTAAGAGGCACGCACCTCTTATTATGTTCTATGTACAAATTAAAGACAAACGAAAATTTCAATATTAAAAAAAAATTTGTTGAGAAAATTTGAATTTAAAAAAATCGCGAAAATTCTAAAAAATGTTGAATCAACTTGAATCAAATCTGATAAATTTGACATGTTATTGAAACTTATTCATATATGTAGATTCATAAATTCGCACAGTTATAGCTGGTCAAATTCTAAGATTACATTTTTTGAAACCCTCAAACGACTTCTCCTTTTTTATCTTAATTTTGAAATTTTCGTGGATGTCTTTATTTTGTACATATAACGAAATAAAAGGGTGCCCCAAGATGTTGATATTTTAAGGACCACCGCAATATGTATGTATGTATGTATGCGTACTCCGCTCCTACACAACTCACCGTTATCAAGGCTGTAAGCGGCGCCAGCGCCTCCTCCTACAACCCCACCGCCACCCGCCGTACTTGCGTATGGATAATTGGCGGCCACCATAGTGGCTGTCGCGTAATCTAGGCCGGCATTTGAGCTTTGAAGCGCCGCCGCCGATGAAGTAACATGCGAAGGGCTACCCGAGCCACCACTCACCAACGCAGCTGAAGTCAGTGTGTGCGCCAGTGGTGGAGTGCCGTTGTTATTACTGCTATGCAGCATGGAAGAGGCGGCGGCTATATTAGAATACTGCGGCAGCGTGGTCTGCGCGTGAGCAGCGTGTGAATTCCATGCGTCCGTGTAGGGCGTAGCGCCGGCAGCGCTGCTAGTAGTGTATTCATAAGAGCCATATGCTTGCGTGGCGTAGAAGTTGCCGTTGTCCTGTGAAAAAAAAAAACAGTAGCAGAATCTTATTAGTGCTGTGTTTTCGCACTTGGGTTATTATTTTATTTATTTTTTTCAAATAGCCTACCATGCCTGGATCGTAGGAAGCAGTTGCGTAAAAACCATTTGTGCTTGGATAGGGTTTCACTTTTAGCTTGGATCGATAGCCGCGCGGTCGTCTGCGTAAACTGGCCTCATCTTCAAACATGTAAGCTGAATTTTGTTCGATGGTCCAGTAATTGCCTTTGCCGGGTTTGCCGACACTCATGCCCTTCGGCAGCTTTTTAAAGCACTCATTTAGGCTGAGATTGTGACGCACCGAGTTTTTCCAACCCACATATGGACCGCGAAAAAACTCGAATCTGGAAAGGTAATTTAAATTAGGAATGAATTAGGGTGAATAGAATATTTATGATAAATACGTATGTATGTATTTATGTAGACGCATATTTTAAGTAAAGCGCAAGGTACATTGATACAGAGTATATGTATGTATGTATGTAGCTGCCAGTACCAGGGACCAGTTGCAGTTTTTAAGTTGTCAAAAATCTATATCCAGTACAGTATAATGGCCAAAAAATGTATGTCCAGTTTTAAATGACTAACAATTTACGACCAGTTATTAATTGAACTAAAAATTATTTCCAATTTATAGGTGTCCAAACAATGTATATCCAGTTTTTAAGTTCCCAAAAATTTATATTCAGTTTACATCAAATGTCAAAAAAAAATCGTATGTACAGTTTTTAAATGACAAAAAATTTTGGTCCCGCTGACGCCTTGAATCATGGTGATAAAAGTCTTTGTCCGAGCATCTTTGTTTATTTGAAATTAGGCGCAGCACTGCCAGTATCTGTTGCAATGAGCGAGCGGTCATTTTCAACCCTTCAAAGGTTGAAGACCTAAATGCGTAGTAGCACTGGGCAGAGAGATTGGTTGCGCTGGAGCTCCTAAATTTACATAGGGATCTGAAAGTTAATCCTCAGTAAGAGTTAGATCAGCTGGCAAAAAAACTACGGAGGATGCAGTTTTCAATTTGAAAAAAAATGTATAAAAAAAATAGATCCGCCCCTGGTATCGACACAAAAACCAAGGATTGTTTTGAGTCTGCAATTTTGTAGCCCATTAAATTTTAGTATAATAACGTATAAGTTTGAAGAATCTGTTGATTTTTGGAAATGTTGTTTTTTTTTAAGGTGCTCTCATTTGCTCCATAAAAAAATCGTCGAGCACGATGCACGACACCGTCAGCAAAAATAAAAACTGCCAAAAATCAACAGTAAGTCTTAGCTACTTCAAACTTGCACTTTATTATTACTAATAACAAAGCTTTACAAAATCTTTCTAAGAAATCTAACTAAAAAGTTTGCAATTTTTACGAAAGTTTATTGAATTTTTTTTTTAAATATTGCAAAAAGTTTTAAACTTGTGTTTATATCGTTCTTGTTCTATAAGTTATAGTTAATATTAAAAAAAAACAAAAAAACAACGAAAATTAAATATCAAAAAGAACTAATTTTGAAAACTTATCGTTATGTGGCGCGCTTTTAATTATGACAAGGGGTGTAGCTCCCAAGGCATAAACCCATCTGTATGTATGTATATGGACGTGAGACTTTCAATTGTCTAGCCAAGGCGTTGCTAGTTCAAGGCCATTACCAAAATTCAGGGTATCCAAACGGATTTGAATTTTTTGAAAATTAGCAAGGAACTCTTTTAAAACTCAGGACTGTGGTACATGTAAGCATCTACATATAACTCTGTCAATAGTTTCTGTCAATGTTGAATTATCATGAAGTGCGTGCAATAAGGCATGCAGCACAAGAGCCGAAATAAATCGATTACTGCCCAGATAATAACTAATTCTGCGAAATTTCATCGAAAAGAACACCAAAGCAGAAAATGTCGTTAAGAACCCATTACCAAAATAAAAATAAATAAACTTTGTCATCTTTGGTGACACAACGCCATTGACTGGGACGAAGTGGCACCCACAGTGCCTGTCACAGGGCACAAATATTTACACATAAATATAAACAAAATCACAACAACAATTGACATAACAAAAAGCAGCAATTTACATAAACTTTAAGTTTTGTTTTTGTTAAAACTATAGCTTTTATTTAAATAAACACGGCAACTGGCACACACACAGAGGCCACCGGGACATCAGTCAGTCAGTGCACGCAATGGCACGAATGGAAAAAAATCAACGCTGGTTCGTATTGGTTTTTTCGGTTTCACTTTAATTTTAGGAATATGAGAATTTTTAATGGCTTTTGAGCATTCATTTGTATGTACATACTATACATAAGTAGGAGGACCACAGCCAATTAAAATGTTCATATATGTATGTACATTAGGGTGGTCCAAAAGTGCATGCGAAAAAGTAAAGTCGGAATTTTTATGCTCTCACCGTCTAGGATTCTTACCTAGGAGTTATACCTGTGTTTTTTTTTATTTTGAAATCAAAAAATATTTAGAGGTCGCTTAAAGCGGTCAAAGTTTTTCACGTATTTTATATGGGGAAAAAACAACTTTTCGTAGAAATGGTATAGATTTCTTAAAAATCAACATTTTCGATAGGAAAACTCTGCAGAAGATTCCCAATAATATTAGCCAACTTTTTATTTAACTATTTTTTTTAGAGTAACTATATTTTATAGGTCCGCCAAAAACCCTCAAAAGCCCCGGTAAATGCAGTGAGGGGGCCAATAAAAAATTGTTAGTATTAAAAATTGATTAAATAAGCAATTGGGTTTTGCTATTGAAAGTCTCCTTTTTCATGGAAAACTTTGAGCGCTTTGAGCGACCTCTAAATATTTTTTGATTTCAAAATAAAAAAAATAGGCGTATACTTTTTTTCAATATAGAACAATCCTAGGGGGTGAGAACATTAAGACTTTACTCTTTTTGGACCACCCTAATGTACATATGTACTTGCCAAGCAGAATTGGTGTCAACTAGTGCGCAGTGGCCTCAAAAAGAACAAAAGAAGAGCAGAGTTGAAAAGGCTTCAAATTCGGACGCACTCAAATTGTTGTAAAAATAAACGCATTTTCAGCTTAAATTTCAATTAAACGCGATTATCGATGAAAGAATATTGAGAGAGTGTCTGAATTTTATAATTTGTGTAGCTATTCGACAAGCATAAAGCAGATAAGAAATTCAAATGATTTTGTTTTGAGAAATAATAATAAAAGGCAAAAAAGGCCAAACTTCGAAATAATTGCCGAAAAGCTGTGCTTTTGCGATTCTAGACGACAACATTCAGCCAGGCACTAAGACTGCTGAAGTCTAGAAAAGGAAGTCTGATGAGGAGATGTGGTGATCTCCGAAATAGTGCTATAACTTCTACCGCTTAGACTTTGTTGCTTTTTCAAATTTTCCTAATAAACAATCGTGGTACAAAGCTCAATAAAAATATTAAAAAAAAAAAAAAAAAAAAAAAAAAAACTAAGACTTTTATTTTTAGATGATTGCACTGTTTGTATCCTTATGATCCAAAAAATTAAATCTGAAAAAAACGGTGCTGGTATCATTTTGTAATAAAAAAATTAAAATAAAAAAATAATGGATAAATTTGATTGGAGAATTGAAAATCAAATTTTAGCGATTAATTTACGTATTATAGTTATTAGCTCTGATCCAATACTTTTCGTGTAAAATCCTGTAAAAATGTTATACAGCAAAATTACTCTCTGGAGTGAGAGTAAAAAGTGAGTAATAACAAAAAGTACGGGGACAAAAAGAGCATTTTTCCCGTAAAAACGTCAACCAGTGATCGCTTGACACTTTTCATGATTTTACCAGAAAAAAGTTCCGGTAAAATCTTGCAACTTCATTCTCTACACAACTCTCCAAAAATCGCTCTCATTTACAGGATGTTGGAAGAATTTGTAGTACGGTATCATTTTTCCTGTAACTTCCTGCAAGTTAGTGTAAAAACCTGTAAGTTCATGGAGTACTGGATCAGAGTTATTATAAGCATCATAACCTTTGCGGAACCTCTATTCAAAAAGTTTTAACGAAAAATAGCCTGCAGTAGAGTTAATTATTTGTGGACCTTTAAAAAGTTTGTGGTGTCAGTTTTCTAATATATTCTAGGAAAATAAATACAAAATTTTTCTAAATTCACTTTCTTTTTCATTAAGTCCTCTGACGCTGAATATGTGAAAAAAAAATGTTTTCAAATTTTCAATTAAAAAAGTAAGTAATATAAATTCTTTCCTTTTTGGTTAGTGTTGTTTCTGACAGGCTGGGTGTATGATACATTTTGGAACGAATTTCCGTCATCCCTTGTCAAAGTTAGTTTGGAGAAAAACCGATCTCGCCGCTGTGCCATCTTCAGTGTCATTTTTCGTTCTCGTGGGTTTGTCGCCAAACCAAATTTGACAAGGGATGACGGACATTCGTTCCAAAATACATTATATAAATTCCCGCCTTTTTGAAATATCTTTGCCAAAGTACATACATACATATGATTTGACCCTTCTGATACGTCTACCAAATTAAAGGTGAAATTGAAAACAGTCGGTATCGATCAAAAATAAAATGGAGAAAAGCTATTCACTTTAAAATAATAGGAAGAGTTCTTTTGTAAAGGAGTTCGCCATAGGGAAAATTGCCTTTTTTAACATAAATTTGCCATTGTCGGAACAGTAGGAACTCCAAATGAAAAACTTTATAATCTTTAAAAAATGCAGAGTTCTCAAGTTGATAGCTACATGCAAGACATCCGACGAAGTATTTTGAAAAATATTAAGATTTGCGTGTGCAGTGCCGATTTAAAAATTACTACTTACTTCCAATATTTTTGATTCCTTTGTAGAAAAAATTTTTTAACATTTTTACCTTTTAAGCTTAAACTCTTCCATCTTCTGAGTTGACTTTTTAGAAAATATATTTTTAAAAACTTTTTTTCTATAAATAAATATGATTTTTCTTAATATTTTTTCCTAAATATTAAAATATAATCAATTTTCTAAATCCTATGGAAAACCACTACCTCTTTTATTTTTGTATGCAGAGTGATGCATCCTAGTGTATATACATATGTAAAATTATTCTCTAAATACTAAAAAATATAAAATTCTCAATCTCAAAACATGATAGTAAGCAAATTGAAGACTATCTTTTCCCGATCTCAGAAATACACAAATATATACATATATTTTTTTTTTCAAAAAATATGCCCTTTTTGTTGAGAAAGCGGTTTCTCAAATTAAGGATATGTTGAGACTAAACGTTGCAGATTCGAAAAATAGTTACATAAATATCGAGGGCTTACATATTTACATATATTCAAATAGTGTTATTTCGCATTTTCACAAAAAGTGCTTTGTGATGTTACAACTTGTCTGCGACTTAACTCTCATCTCTGATGTAAATGCTGACCTTATATATAGCTTGTTAGAAGAATTTACTTTTTAATAGTAAAGTTAAACCTAACATCAGTGCTGGCAATTAAGTCTCAGACAAGTTCTAACATCACAAAGTACTTTTTGCGAAAATGCGAGATAGCACTAATTAAATATCAAATGTATCATCGTTCTCAACCTCAAGTCCCTCACAAACCTAAATGTTGGTTGGGCACTTGAAATAATAAACATAAACAGACCAAATAGAAATACGTAAATACCAAAGTTGTTAATAGATAGATAGGTCATCCACTACAATAGCAGGAAGATCGTCACCTTTTACTTCCCCAAGGTAGAGTTGAAACCAGCAGGCCAATCCAAATCATAGGACCCATCATCTTAACTCCTTCCTACGAAAACCCATTGCATAAAAACCAATTTGGTTTATCTACCAGTTATTTCGCCTCTGTTATGGTTCATTGTAGTTGAGGAACTACACGCGGACGAAATTGTCATCTGAATCAGAGGTAGGTTTGAGGACACAATATCTAACCTCATACAGCTTGCCTTGAATATAGTCGCCAAATAGTGCAGTAAAACAGGTTAACAGCCCAATTCTGTATAGGTGACAAAACTTTTGTAACTGAAAAACGAAAATTTTTTCATATATTTTTCCGTAACAAAACTGTAAAAAAAATTTGTCACTGATACAGAATAGAGGTATTAATGTAAATCTCAAGAAGACAAACATGATCGTTTTCAAATTTCTAGAACCACTCTCTCAAGGAGAAAATATAAACTTCCTTAAAAAGCCCAAATATCTGTAAGTTATCCTTGATGGCAAACTCTCATGGAATTCACAACTAGGAAAAGCTATTCTATGTGGGCCTGCAGGAAACTAGTATCACTGGCGCGATGGCCTGCCTTCTCTACATCTTGCAATAAAGAAAAATGTTGTCCGATGGCAGCGTGATTTTCTGACCTGGAACTGAATCTGCACTAGCGACACCATATATCACAAATAGCCGTGAGGGTCCAAAAAAAAATCCGATTATTGACCAAGCAGCCAAGAGGCAAAATGCAGAACAGAGAACTTTCGGGGCTGTGTGAAGCTTTAACTGCATTATAGCCACTTTTTCAAACTAAAACGGCACTATATAGAGAAATTTTTTATTGCCCTCCTTAGCTCACAAATCGCATATCATCTTACCTTTTCTGCAGAAAGCTATAGATTTCACTAAGCGTCAGCTTTCCCGTTGGTGATTCTTTGATCGCCATCGCGATCATATTAATATAACTCAATGCAGGTTTCTCAGGGCGCCTTGTGCCTGATTTTTTCGTCGTATCTGGCGGCGTCAATTCCTGCGTTGATGATGCAGTTGACTGCTGTTGTTGTTGCTGATGCTGTTGACCACCACCACCACCACCACCACCACCAGGCGTCGTTGTACCACCACCTTCACTTTGGTGGCTATGCACCGACTTCGCCGGCGAGGAACTATTCGAATAGGACATCGTTTCGGTTGTGGCACATAATTGGCCAGAAACGCTATGCGAACTGGTTATAACACCCGACCCGCTGGACACTGATGGCATACCACCGACATTTTGTATGCGTTGCAAGGACTGTGACAAATGATCAGAAGAGCTTGCTTCCGCAGA